GTCGTTATCCTGGAGTTTTGCATATTTCATAGATAGTGCCTCTGACAGATGTTCCTTCGACATGGCTTTAGCAACTTCCCCAAGTTTCCTTTTTCTTGTTAAGCACTCATGTAGAGTTTTCGCCGGTTTGCCTCTGTTTGCCGATGTACTTGAAATGCTATAATCGTCCAGTTCACCGCTTCCAAAGTTTGTTGATGCACGAAGCCAATCCGCATTTTTTGTATTGAAGTAGCTTCGTGTCCGACGACACATATTCCACTTCGCTTGGATTCTATAATAAAGGTTTCTCACTTTCTGCTCCAGTAATGCGCCTTTCAACAACGATGTGCTGCCTAACATACTCAATGCTTTCTCCACTTCCGTCGCAAATAGTTGGAAGTCATTGCAGTCATGAAACAGATCAAACAAAGTCTGATTTGACAAAGCCATAACTCAAGCCACGCACCAAATGAAGGTCCTTATATACCAGAATAGAACGGACAATCCACTCACACTTGCATAAAACTCATTGAATAACTGTAATGCAACTAAAAGGTTAACGCCTTGACCTCTTCATATAGTTGTCAATAACAAGTATTTGTTAACAGTAATTTATTTATAGGTAGAAACAAAAAGAGACAACAACCGAAATTTTAAAGACAATTTAGAAAAAACTAACCCTTTCCACAAACGTTCTACTTTTGGCATTTTTATCTACGACATAAAGAAAATTTGACATTTTTGAGCACATTTTGTTTTTGTGTTGTTGAAAATACATCAAAATATCGATATATCGATAACTATCCTTCATCTTGTTAATTTCTAATTGAATGTCATCAAAAAATCTAAAATCGATTATGACCTATTTTTGTCACGCTCTGGCGGCAGAGATCCCACTGTGCGATGTCGACGTCGCAGTCTACGCAGACGGCAGCGTCAAAAATTTATTTTCATTAACAAGTTGACAAAACGTACGGTAGAAGCTCAAAAGGTACGGCAACAGTAGAGCGAAGCAACAGCAAAAGACAATGGTAGGGTGAGAGAGAGAGAGAGATAGATAAATAGTCTTTGTGTGCGTGTGGGTGTGCAACATACATATTTTACTGATGTGCGTGTGTGGGTGCAAAATAAAATGTTAGTTAACGATTTGCGTATATTCATGCGGGGACTGCCCTACATTCAGTTACCCTGTAGGCCCTTTACCAACCAAGTTCAAATTTCTATTTAACTAAATTTCAAGTTCCACAAAAGCTCTCAAATTCCAGATAAAAATTTGTAGAATGGTTTTACTAGGAATCGATAAGAATCGACTCGACATTATGAGTCATTGTGACCACCCGCGAGCACGACTCGCAAATACCCTGTGTGAATAGTGGGATTTGGTTACTAAACAAAATATGTAGATATTTTAATTTAAATTTTCGTCTATATCTCTTTATCTCTATGCACATTCTCATAGAGTTAACAAAGTTTACTCCTAATATATAACCTCTCTCTACTTTTACTGTTGATTGGTTGCATTGATTGGTTTATAAAATGATCGATATACATATTACACTTTCTTATAGAATATATGCGCCAATAGATCTAACTCTCACTAGATATACATACATATGTGTATTCCACGGTTATATACCCATCCCATCTGCACACTAGAAATGCAAATATAGTTCCGCTCTCGCTTTTTTAGTTACCTCAAACTCTACCTGCATGCCGTCCGCGTGCTGTGTGTGGCACGCGGCATGTGGGCGCAGCTGATGCCTGCAGTAGTCACAAACTTCAGTTTATCGTAAAAGAATCATAAGAATCAAGTGGCGGTAGGGGGGAGGGTGCGGTACGCGAGGCGTTGGTCAAATATCTGTGGATTGGATTTGGCATCGGTTTCCGTTTGGCAGACCACGCAGTTGTGGGCGGGCGGGCGGTCGGTTGCTTGATGGTTGCGAAGGCGTTGCTTATTTCTTTTGTTTTCATTTTGAGCCCCAAGCACTGGGAAGCAAAATGATTAAGTACAGCAGAGACATGGCACAAAGCCCTAAAAGAAAAGTTTCCGCCATCATATTTGCCTTACAGTAATTCGATTCGATCTATAACTTCACATGTGTGTCCTCTGGACTATATATGTATATGTATGGCATATCCTGGCAGCCAACCTCCTCTCTCGCTCTTTAGCTTAAGCTCAAGAATGTGGCCTAATTGAAGCCGTAGGCAAAGTTTGCGCTAATATAATTAGTCAAATGGCTCTGGTTTGGAGTACTTCAAGAGCACACCAGCCACACACACACACACACACACATATTATATATGTATGTATATATTTGTTTTCTCATGTCCATCAAAAGGTGCCCAGCAACAACAACAACAAGTACGCCTGATGGAACAACAGGCCAAATATTATGAGCAGCAACAGTTTCCTCTGGCTCAGCGTTGATGGCCCAAAAATCAAATTAAATCCTTGAAATGCTTTTAACACAAATTACAACTTTTAATTGAAACGGCTCAGCGGCAAAAAGAAAAATAATAATAATTGAAAATTGTAGCTGCTTCATCTGCTAGCCGCCGCGACTCATTTGCTATTTTCTTTTTAATACCCTAGGCCCATCGTATGGGGCAAGGCGGGAATATTGCTGCTGTGCAAATAAGAAAATAAATAAAAATACAAAATTCTATTTTAAATAAATTCTACTTAAAATATATGCACATCAATATTAAAATATAATATAAAATATACATTTTACACAGTTTATATATACTTTAAATTAACATTCTCTCGCTTTTAAGGGAATCACAGAGTATATTCAGTAAAGTGTTGTTTTTTTATAATTTATTAATAAACACTGACTAACAGTGTTGCCAACTTTTTAAAAATAAATAAATAAAATGTGAAAGGCTTAAAAACATACACAAAAAAACTTGTAGTTTTTACATCATATTTTATTTAATATTTTTTACTACTCAACATTCACTATCACAAGATAGATTCATACGAAAGTAATTATTAGGCAGCCCATAGCTATGTCTGGAAATTTTACGCCTTCGTAATTTATCTTCGCATATATCTTCTAAGAATCGACCATTGCCAACTGAGTCTTTATAATAGTAAATATGCTTCCATGAATTTTCCGTGTCGCTCACATTTTTTACTTGTCTAAGAGGATTGTCGCTGGATATTAAAGTATTTCCAGTTTTCGGTAATATTTTTCTTGCTCCAGACGGGAAAAATGTCTACTTGAATTTTGAAATCATATGGTATCCAAGCATCACGTCACTAAATTTAGTACCCATGTCTGATCAGGTAAAGTAGAAGATTAAATTAAATTACATCTTTTGACAGATTATTGAAGTGAGAATAAAATGTCGAGCTGAAAATTTATGTTGGCATTAATTTGTTTATTTAATAAAATTCATTAAAAACGTAATGTTCCTTAAAGCTTTCAAAAATGTCAAACCTATTTAGCTGTCAGGTGATGTTTTAAGATATCTCATCTCTATCTCATCTCAGACATTACTCATTTACTGATAAGGATTTCAAGCTATGCTGCTGCGCCTGCAGCCACAGGTGAGTGATAAAGCCTGATGGAAACCCTGTTGAGATTTAAGTTTGAGTTTTAATTTACTCTAATTTTCACACATTTCTTCGTTGTGGCAAGATACCCCATGCTACAGTTTATTTGTGTAAGGTATTTATTTAATTATAGTTACTTTGAAACTGGTTACAATTCATTTCAATTTAATTTTATTTCGTGCCAAAGCTGCTCAATATACAAAGCAATTCGAGAAAATCACTTAAATGGCGCAACTTACTCGTCGAGCTAATATATTTATTGTTCAGTTACGAATAAATATTGTATTTACGTTGCAGACGAAAAGGTAGGCCTGCGACAGCAGACTATGGCCACACTGGTCAGGGATGGGGAGAATATTATATTAGCTCTAGAGGCACTGCCTAATGTAGAGAGAGACGGGATTGCCTTCTCTCTGTTGTTTTTTGTCACTTTTAATTTTAGTTTTACCTGAGGAAATAGTCCTCAGAATATGAGAAATATGACGAATCTACTTCGGACATAAAAACTAACTGACCTGACAGAAAGCAGAGATCTTACGAAGCTAAGAATGTGCTCAGTCTATGAAAAGTTGAAGGATACGGGGGAGAGTCCTTAGCTAGAGCACATATTACGACTCCATATTGATGATTAATGCTGGATAATGTTGTGTCCAATCTTGAGAATGTTGTTTCAAACGTTAAATGCAGCTCAGAGCGACCCGACTGACGATACAAGTACATGCTTACATATACATATATTATGATATATTCAGCGGTCATAAAAATAGTAGTGCGACTGAGCCCTAAATGTTGGAGGAAAAGCAATGCGAGTGAGTGTGCAAAGCTCAATATGAACATCCAAATGAATAACAATATACATACATATGTTAATCTGAATATTCGCTTTAAATTTTCAAAATATTGAGATTATATCTAAGGCTTTTGTATAACACTTGGTGCTCAGTCATACTGCAATTTGTATGACCGCAGCTGTATATATCGTCAGTCAGTTCGCATACACGATATACATATATATATATATATATATATATATATATATATATACATATGCATGTATGTAGGCCATTTACTTTGTCTACTTGAGCTCGGCAAGTTTATTATTATAGTTATTATTAAAAAAAAATCGAAAAATTCCTTGCCCTTATCATTACTTGTTCTTATTATTATATAGTACACCATTAGTATGCTCATTATATAAAACTAGAGAATGCTTTTGCATTCCTGCTCCTCTCCTGGCACCGATCACAGATGAGAGGAGAGTATCAAAAGTTGGGCCACTTCTGGAATGTTACATATATCCCATACATATATGTATATAGAATGAATGACTGAACAATCGAATCATACGCTTAGCATAGCTTTTCCTACAGTCTTGTTGATTCATTGTATTGATCACATTGACCATCTGCTTGAAAACGGACCTTCAAGAAAAGCCCGCATATCACAGGACTCCTTAAAGCTGTGGTTAATAAATGGAGAAATTCTTGGAAATCAAATATAAGTTAAGTACATTTATATTACTTTCTGATACAATCTCAACTTACATAGAAATACACATTTTCCATATATATATAATTTGTTTACACAGTTTAGATGGAACTTATTATTCAGTATATATATGTATATGACATATAAACATACATATGTATGTATATAGTTGCCTTACAACTGTATTTAAACCTTGAATTGAGAAAGTTTAAATTTGTTTCTGCCTGCGAATTGTTGCCTCGCCTGGAATTATCAAATAGATAGCAACAATAAGCTGCGTGTCTCTGTCTATGTGTGTGTGTGTGTGTTTGACTGTGTGTGAACGCGCTTTGGGCAACTGGTGGAAAATTCGACACCGTCGCAAGGTAAATCGCTCAACGGCGTTTTTTTTTTACAATATCAACGGTTGCCTGGCGCACAATGTTGAGGGTGGGGCTGGGGGTAGAGGGCGGTAGCAGGGGCAGGGGCAGGGGCAGGGGCAGGGGAGTTGAGCGAAGGTAAAACAAATGGTGTGACCATTTGGGTGGCAAATGGCGACTGGGCGTGCAGTGGGGCGGGCGGGGGAGCGCGCAAGCCGATTGTTAAAGTGACGCACTTTAATGGTTCTTCTTGCTTTGCTGTCGCTGCTATCGGTGCGCTCCCCTACCCCAACAACAAACATGTGTGTGGATATATGTATATTAATACCCCCACACACATACGCACACGTCTATATATACACATTATTATATATTTGTGTTAGCTGCTGCTGCTCTGTTTGAATTTTTTATTGTTCTAGCTGCGCTACTCGCAAATTTCGCGTGCTTTGCGCGTTTCGTTTTGTTGATTCTTTCAATTTTTCGGGTCGCGTCATGGGTTCGTCTGATAATTTTCTGATACCCTGCGCTAGTTATTTAATTATTATTGAACTGCAATCTCTTTAAATTTTGTTCTATACGAGGGAAATTATTCCATAAATATTATTTGAGCCGTTTATAGGGTATCTGCTAGTCGGTCAGTGGGTGCAGTTTGGTTATGTTGAACAACGGCCACACAACCTGTGGCATTCGCGTGCCCAACAATAACCACAAGTCGACCAGTTGTCCTCAAAGCAACGTATTGCCCTCGGCCAACCTAATTCCAGCACGCACCCCTCTACGCTCTGCGCTTCCTGCAGCCCCAAAGGCCCCAATGGTACCCTAATAATAAAAGAATTAATATCAAACCCGAAACCAAGCCGCAACATAGGTCGGGCCACAAACAAAGCCCGATTCAAGCGCGAGGCCGAAGTCTTAAGGGTCTCGCATAGCCGTGCTAGCCATGCCTTCCATATGGGGTGATACGCGACATATCATATGACGCCACATATGTAAACAAACGGCAATTAAATAAGAACCGGAATATGGCAAAAACAATCAAATTATATATAAATAAATGAATCAACTGCGAGCTGAGACGCCAAGCAAGAAGAAAGCGATAATCAAAAATTAAAAAAAAAAAAAACAACCAATTGTAAAGTTGATACCGAATCGGTGTGACAGAAATTTGAGATATATGTTTCGAGGAGTCAGACTGCTTAGCTTCGGATTGGGAATTACGGTAGATCAGTTATTGGATAGCTTGATAAGATAAGATTTTCAGAGCGTAATCATTACAATTCTCTACTATATGAAGCACAGCATAGATATGCGCTTTTATATCTATTAAAAAGTGGATAAGTTATCGAGAGATAAATATGTCATACAAGAATACATATTTGAAAGTTAGTCTTAAGTTTTTGGCTAGATTGAATAGCATATATCGATTTATATCGATAAAATGGAGCATTAGTTATCGAGAGATAAAAGATAAATATGTATTATGCAAAAACATATTTTAAAAATATAAAGTCGGAATAGATTATTTGGCCAGATCGCCTCATCTCGCCCTTCTTGCTGTCCCGCCCCGTTTTAAGATAATAACCCAATCGATTCAGTGGAAATTGGGAGCACACATCAAAGTTTCTGGGAGGATCCAGTGACGCACATTTGCTGGCTACGCCAAATGGACTATGCAAACTTGTCAACTAAACAAATTATGCAATTACGCAAGTCTCCGTTTTTCATGCGCCACCCACAGCAAAATCCACTTACTCCGTGAAAAACTATTACGAAAAAAGAAGTGGCAAAAAAACGGAGAAAACGGGATTGAGGAAAAAGCTGCACTGTGCGCTAGGAAAAAGTCCTGATGCAGCTTCGTTATAATCCACGAAAATGAGCGCAAAGTAAATAACGGATAATAAATGGCGACCCAGCCCAGTTAGCTCACAGTGTTTGGCCTAAGAGATACCCTGTACTGCTCACACAATGCTAAACATATTATTTATATTTACAATTCTTTGAGCGGGACAAGGAAATTTATTTCTATACTGATATGAGTGAGTATTTCTACCCATGGAAGTCTTCTATAGTTCATTGTTCATCGTTCGTCTGGGACTTGACTTCGGTAGAAGAACCAAAAAGCCCTTTGCTTAGCATATCAGTGCAGGGTATAAAAAGTACTTTGCTAAGCAAAACAAGTAAAGCGACTCAGAGCCAGTTCCATATTGAACTATTAGATGGAATCTATAAATTTCTATTATTCTCCATAAATCATATTAAAATATAGATGAACTTATTCATGGCTCCGAGTCATCTGAATATGAAGCCATTTTTGGACTAGTTTTATTTTCTACATGGTGGAATAAGGAAATTTAACAGCTGGGGAAAAAAATTTCCCTACCTATAACTACATACATAGTATGTATGCTATGTATCTTTGAGTCATCTGAGTAAGCAACAACTTTTGGAAATTTTCTGATGGAAAGAGGAAAGCTAGGAGCTGGGAATAAAAGTTTGCTTATTAAAGAAATGTTATAATATCTGGTTACTAGCCTGATTTAAATCCCTATTGAACAATATTGAAGTGAAACTTATTCTATTTGATTAGTGCATTTTGTTTTGGATACTCACGGATAGAAGAAGAAGAGAAATGTTGTAAGTAACAGCACAATCCATGCGAAAGTCGCCGGAATGTAACGGGTTTTCACATCGCATTTGGGCATTGTGTTGCTCTTATTGTTTTTGGTGTTTTTGTTATTGTTGTTTGTGTTGCTTATGTTGCTGGTGCAACGTCAGTGGATATGGCCGTTGTGGAGCCTGTGCTGATTATGTGGATGATGGCCGATAACTTGATAGTTCGATGACGATGACGTAGCGATGTCGGATCGTTTGGAACTGCAAGTGTGACAGACAGAAAACAACATAAGAGACGGCGAGGCGAGACGAGGTGAGACGACGCGTGAAATGGGATCGAGCGAGCGTATGCTGGTCGTTGTTGTTATTGTTGTTGCCGCTGCTACTGCTGCTGCTGCTAATGTTGTTGTTGTTGTTGTTGATTTTCCAGCTTCGGATTCTCACTGATATAATTTTGCAAGCGCTTGCTGTTGTTGCTTGCGAATTAGGCGCTGTTATAAAAACACATTGTCACATCCACACACAGACACACAGGCACCTACACCCAAACGCACACGCACACATGCATACACATTTACACAAGCGGCAAATGCGACTTTTTTGCTCTATTCAAATGAACACTATTTGAATTATTTGTTCTTGGCGCTGGTTAACATTTTATCGCTGCTCTTGTTTTTGTTGGTCTTGGTGCTGTTGTTGTTGCTTTGCTGCTGTCTTCGCCCTTTCAGTATATTTGTACTCCTGTTTTTCTTGTCTTTCTTGTCGCGCCTGTCACCCGTTTAGCTGTCGTTCGTTCTTCTTGGTTCCCACCTTGCGCTCTTTCGTTTCGTTTTTTCTCCTGCTGCCAATGTGCTTCCACTTATTCTGGCTTTTTAATGCTTTTCTTTCTACACACACACACGCACGTTGTTGCTTTTGCTGCAACTTTTTTTTTTGCGATATTCCTCGCCGTTTGTCCGCTTCTCTTCTCTCTCTCTCTCTCTCTCACACACGCTCCGTTCCTAAGCACAGCACACCGCTCCACACACAAACGACGACGACGACGACGATGATGGCGTTGCCTGCAATATAGTGCGCTCAACTTTCAGAGGAAAGTTAACGCCAAATGCACATACACTTGTGAATGGAACACTTTATGTTTGCCTTTCATTCCAATTATGCACTTTTGGGTATATATATATTTACGAAAAAATAAATAAAAAAAATAACCACAACAACGCGCTGCGCATAATTTCCTCGCCCGTCGTCTGTCGAAAAAAATTGGTTTCTGTTAAGGAAATGTTAGTGTCAGAACAAGCCCAAGCATGTTCGACTAATTTCTTCAGTCTGTTATTCTTATCGATATATTATCATTTAATAGCACTGTTTACATAGTTGGCGATAGGTGATAACAGAAGAGGTCAACCAAATTACTCTCGATGAATGAATGTATGAACTGTACATCTGTAAGATAAAAAATGAATAGTTTTCATGATTGATTAATAAAGCTTTTGTAATCAATGCATTGCTTATCGAAATGTTAAAATCAGATGTAGCAATATATCGATAGCTATTAAAAACAGAAATATTAATGAAAGCTGACAATTTGTCTCAGTTTTACTTTTTATTATAATTGAACTTCTAAATTTGATGAATAATTAAACTGGATTTCGTAAAGGTTTTAAAATATCGTTTTATTTTTGTAGATATCGTTTAATTTGATTTTGCATATGTGCAAAAGCTGATTGCTATGCCAGTTCTATAATATCGATATATGAATGAAAGTAATAATAAAACATTTAAGCATAATTTCCAATATAATTTGTATCAAGAAAATTAGCATTGTGAACCAATAAAGCCAAAAATACAAATGTGTTTACAAATTAACTATCGTTTAAAATCAAGAGTGACCTTATATTTGCCTATCGGTACTATGGCATTTTTCATTATTTATCAACATACCAGGTGAAACGCGAACTTCCCAACACTAGCCAGTAAATGTATTTTCGCCCCTCGCTTTAATTCAGACCTAAAAAAAACATTTTTTTTTTGCAAATATTGAAAACAGGAACATATAATAACTCTAAGATTCAACGGGATTGACACATTGAAGGAGATCAGTGGAGCGATACTTTTCGCAACTTGAACGCAAGGCGCGCCTAAACCTTTCCCGGATTGCAGACTCAATTGTAGCACCATCAGCACCGCCGTCGCCTCTCAGACGCCATCCCCCTGCCCTGCTCCCAGATTCCAGACAATATGTCACGTAGTGTGCGCGCCGAGACACGCAGCCGGGCCAAGGATGACATCAAGCGCGTCATGCAAGCCGTCGACAAGGTGCGGCACTGGGAAAAGAAATGGGTGACCATCAGCGACACGACCATGAAGATCTACAAATGGGTGCCCATATCGTCCAACAGCGAGAAGAAGTCCAAGCTGCAGCTGAACAACAAACTCAGCGACAAGGAGAACTCGCAAAAGGGCACGCCCACGCCGCCCCAAATAACGCCCAGCTACGCAGGGCTCACGGCCGAGGACTCCAATACTTGTGAGTGTGTAGTGCAATGAGACAGGATTCGTGATTGGCTCGCAACCCGGTCGCAGCATTACTAAATCTGTGTTTCTATTCGTGCAGGCTTCTCAGTGGTGAGCGACAGTCAGGGAGCTGACTTCGTGTCCAGCATGCCCTTCTCCGAGGACTCCAACTCACAGGGCAGCGATGGGCCGGTGAAGCGCCTCAAGACGAGTGATTAGCTAGCCGTCCACATCCACAACACATTTATCAGCTAAGCCAATCCCACACAGGCGCACGAACACTCACTAATTACGTGCGTGTGTAGTAGTGTACAGGCGTGTGCGTGTGAGCCGCTCGGAATTATTTTAATTTTTTTATATAGAGAGCTAAACGTAAACGAGTTAAATTGTAAGTAAATGATAATCATCTGCCTCACCAAGACTTAAGCAATTCTCCTAAAAAGTCTAACCATAAGTAAATGATACCTAATCACATTAACTGAACTATGCATATTGTACACATAGTTGATAATATACATACATACATGCGCAGACATATTGCTCTACGAACATAACGGTAATTAGACTTAAGACAGTCACATTTCTATATGCTATATGCTCCTCTTATTGTATGTTGCGTCGCGATCGAGCGAATTGTCGTCCCCTATGTTTAGGCCTTAGCATTTAGCACAAATATCTATATCAATTTATTTATTTGCACAAACAATAAACAAACAAACAACAAAATGAAACAAGTCGATTGTGTTTTGTTTTTTTTTTTTTACATTTTTCTTTTATTGTTTTTTATTTTAGTTTTTTTCTTTAGTTTTTCTTTTTGTATAATAAAAAAAAATTAATTTCTTTCAACAAATAGTTTTCTTTTTCACTTGACATTAAATATACATACATACTCTCTCTCTCTTTCTCTCTCTCTCTCTCTCCGTATTCTTTATATATTTTCACAATATCATCGTCATAGTATATAGATATGGATATACATATACATATACACATATACATACATTTATATATATATATACATATAAATATATATATATACACATACATATATATGTAGATATTTATATAGATGTAAGGCCAGCCAGGTTGTTGCCCACTAGGCAGATGCCAGACGTCAACTTGGTTGGAAAAGCGTACATATACATACATACATACATATTTAGTTTCATTCATCATCTTTCACTAAAAATTTATGCTATAAAAAAACACGCTTAACTGAAAGGAAGCACGGATTTGCACGATTTACAAAACTTTCGATTGACCAAACGAATTGCAGACAAAAATCAATTAAAAAAAAAAAAAAAAAAAAATCAATAATCATTTCGATTACACAGTTAAGATATTATTAAAATAAAAAGTGAAAAAAAAATAAGAAATATAAAATAAAATTAGATATATATATATATATTTATAAACGCTAAATGTGAGTTACACACGCAAACAAAGCTTCGCTTTTCTTCTACAAAACAAAATGAAGTGAAACAGTAAGGTAGAATAAAATAAAATAAAATACAATAAGTAAATTTAAAGACCGAAATTTTAGAGAGGCTTGGATCATGGGAGCTACGATTGGAATGTCTTGGAATGTTAATGCATAATAAAACTTAACCACAGAAAAGAAATGCAAATGTAGCACAGACAAAAATTTCTTAGTTTATGATGTGTGTGTGTGTGTATGTGTTGTGTGTGTGTGTGTTGTTAAATAAAGACATATATATACATATATCAAATATGTATATAGTATATATATATTTTAAATTATAAGCATTATTTAACTACATACTTTTCGTTTCAAAACTTTGCTAGCACAAAAATTGTTTTATTTATTTTCATTTCAATAATGTTTATTTTTCTCTTTGTTTTGCGATTTATTATTAAGCTGATCTTTTTTTTTGCACTTTTAATTTTTTTTTAGAAAAATATAAATTTTTCGCTTGAAGAATTTCAATATATTGTTTTCTTTGTTTTTTTGTGGCTTAGTTTTTGTTTTGCTTATAATTGATGCTTTGCTTTTGCTTTGTTTTCTTTTTTGTTTAAACAAATAAACATTTCACATACATACATACATTTAAACATATCGTCGCGTTGGTTTTTGCTTTGAATACATGTATATATATATAGTTATATATATATATATATATATATATAGTTAATATTGTCATTTAGCGTTCAGAAAATATACTCTATGCCTTTTTACAAAATTCATTTAAAAATGTTTTATTCATATTTTTTTTTTTTGCAGTCTGGCGCAAAAAATGGCTTAAAAAAAAGTTTAGTTTTATCATCAAGTTTTGTTTAATTATGTGTGTGTGTGTGTGTTTGTGTGTGTTACACCAGTGCCTCAATATTGGACTCCTCTTAAAATTGTTTTTTGTCCGGGGCGCTTACAAATTTAGAGATTCGCTGGCTTTTCTTTCGGCCGGAATATGCCGGAGGCGCTTCAGCTTAGAACCGATCGGGCGCCGCCTTATCTTAGTGTACATAGTGTATATATGTATATGTGCATATACATATATATGTTGTATATATATATAGTGTATAAATTTATATAATAATAATTGCAACAGTTTTTGTTTAGTTTTTGTTTTTGTTTCATGTTTTTCGTGTTGGCTGTTTGGATCTGTCTCGTCCGTCGTCCACGTTCGTCTCCAAGGATATGTGTTGTAGGTAATGTTTGCGTAGAGGACGTTTAAGCACAGGGCTGGGAGCTAGTGGAGAGGCAGCGAAGGTTGCAGCAGGTATACATACATATATGCATATGTGTGCGTGTGTGTGTGTGTCTTCTATACATCTATTTATACGGGATATGCATGGACTGTGCCTACTAAACGTTGTTCATGTTGTTATTGTTGTCGATGTCCTTTAGATATATGGACATTTGTCATATATAGGTCTAGATAGTTTTAAACTTTTGTGGTTAGTTTTGTGCTGCTCTCGCTGGGGGCGGCATGCCAAGATTTGTGATGTTTCCTTTGTTCCTGTTGTTGTTGTTGTTGCTGTTGTTGTTGTCGTGGCTTCAGTTGATCTGGCCGATGCTTTTGCTGGCGATGTTCGTGTTGCTCTTGCTGTTGTTGCAGTTGCTTGTATTGGTATTGATTGGGTCGGTGCTATGCGTGCAGCGGATAACTGTTGGGCCGCGGCTGCGTCCGCTGCTGGCGCCGACAGCTGAGCGGCAGCGGCAGCGCAACCACGACCTGATTAGCTTTATATCAGCACTCTGACTTATCCTCCTCCACCAGATACTGGGTATCCTTGCCGGTGTCCGCCGATGGGTCCAGCTCGCGCGTGCGCAACTGCAGCTGCGGCGATGACTTGTGCGTGATGCTGCTCGGCGCTATGATGGCCGAGGCGGGCTCCGTGAAAGAGCCGGAGTGGCCCATGGCCTTTGACTTGGACGGTTCCTGTGGCACATCGTAGATGCCTGTCGGAAAATAAATTGCATTAGATCGATTGTCGCACGGACGGACGGGAGTCGCCTCTGCATTACCTGAGCCATTGCTCATGCCCGGATCGGAGCTGGTGCCCAGCTGCACGGCATCGTACATGGGATTGGCAAAGTCGCGCGCCTTGTTGGCATTCACGGTCTGCAGGTTGTAGCCCTCAATGGGCGCCATGTCGTTGGCACCCGGCGCTGAGGCGCCCGGGAAGCCGCTCTCGCTGAACTCCACGTTGGAGCCATGCCGGAAGGTGACGCTCTGGGACGAGGTCATGGCGGGCATGCGCGCCAGCTTGCCGCTGTTCAAATAGAAAAGCAAAAGTTGTGAAAATGCGAAATGGAATAGGAGATACCCTAGACTATTATCTCTTAGGGCCACACATGAAAATTATCAATGCACAGAGGTCAAAGGGACAACAATTTCAGCAGAAATTTTTTTTCTTTCATTTTTAAATATTTTGCTCCCCCATACGGAATTATTTGGTGTAGTTAAAGGTATCTATGCTACAGTTGAATTCGAAAGCCATCTGAGAACTTGACTTTCATTTAAAGTATTTGCAGTGCTGTCCATACTCGACGGAACCATCTGGCAGCACAATATATTTTAACAGAGACGGGGAGAATACGCCGTACAGGCTCTGGGCCGTCATTTGAGAAATATCATATTCAAAAATTGATGTCAACAAATCTAAATAAACCAATTCAATGGGTATTATCATCAACTTCAAGAGAATTGGAATTTTCTTTCCTTAAAAAAAAAGTAGCATAGGTCTGTCATGAATATGGTCAGCCTTGGAGGGTTGCCAGATGAGTCCGTCGAATGAGGGCAGTTAAGTAAATTCATTAAGGTGAAAAACTTGTGGAAATAGCAACAATTTGCCAAATTTTCCCATGTTTGTGATATGGTGTTCATTAATTCATGCATAGTAATAATAAGTTCTTTAATTTCTAGTATAATTTCTGCCAAAAGTTTTACCATCTGGACCACTGTGCAATGGGCTCGGTATGAGGATAGTGTGAATGAGGATGGAAATAACATCACTTGGCTCTACTTACAATGGACGCTTGCGGATGACATACCAGGCGCCGACGGCGGCCATCATGACCAGGAGTATGACCATGATGGGCACCACGACGGCGGTGACGTTGGCGCCGCCATGGCCGAAGGCGCCGGTGGTGCTGCGCTCGCAGTGGTCGCCCTTGAAGTCCGGCAGGCACTCGCAGTAGAGCTCGCCGCGGTCGTCCTCCTTGCAGAGGCCGCCGTTCTGGCAGGGGCAGATGCGGGGCGCGGGCCGTGGACGCTCGGCGGCCGCATCGCAAATGACCTCGGCGGTGCTGCGGTGCGAGGGCAGCGCGCCAGAGGTGTCGGGGCAGGCGCAACGATGGCCGCCGGGCACCAGGAGGCAGAGATGCGAGCAACTGGACTCGTAGCACGGGTTCCGCAGCGAGGTGTTGTAGCGCTTCTCGTGGTAGACCTTAAGGCCGGACGGATTGACGAGGTTGCGGTGCACCACCACCTGCACGCCGCGCCCGAATTTGTCCTGGCGCAGCAGCTCACCCGTGTCGCGCGTCACCCAGAACATGTTCGACTCGAACAGATCGAGGGCGACGGGGTGACGCAACTGGTCGCCCTTCACAATGGACTTGCGGCGCGAGCCGTCGGCACGCATCGACTCGATCGTGTTGAGCTTGGTGTCCACCCAGTAGATGATGTGGTCCTGCGAGTAGTCGATGGAGAGGCCAGCGGGATGACGGATTTGCTCTGTGATTAGCGGCCGTCGCTTGGAGCCATCCATCCAGGAGACCTCGATCTTGGGCGCGGAGCCCGCATCGGCCCAGTAGATGCGACCAAGCTGCGGATTCACTGCAATCGACGTGGGCACCTCCAAGCCGGCATTCACAATCGATCGGCGATAGCGGCCATCCGTTTTGGCCACCATGACGCGACCGCGCGGCTTCGATCCGGTGCGATCCACCTCGGCCCAGTAGAGATTCGAGGCCAGCCAGTCGACCGCAACGGCGGTGGGCTTGGAGCCGCCCTTCATGTTGAGATCCTGGGCAAAGCCGATCTTCGCCTGTCCGTCCAGCGCGTTCACCATGTAGGATCGCTTGATGGTCTTGTCGTAGCTATCCGCCCAGAACACGATCTGCTGCTGGGCATCGTAGTCGAGCGCCTCGATGCGCTTCTCCGAGGCAATCACGTCGAACTCCTCCTTCTTCTGCAGGTCGAGACCGCGTATCTCCGGCCCGTTGGCGAACACCAGCACCACGTCCTCCTTCTCCGCCTTGCAGACGCCGCTAGCGCCGTCCGACAGGTGGAAGCCCTCGCGGCAGCTGCAGGAGTAGGTGCCGTTCATGTTGTGGCACTGATGCGAGCACGTGTGCTGGCGCGTCGCACACTCGTCCACGTCGGCGCACTTCTTCTTGTTGTCCGGCGCAATGATGTAGCCCGGGTAGCAGGTGCAGATGTAGCCGCCGTCCGTCAGGTTGTGGCAGTGGTGCTGGCAGCCGCCGCGGTTCTGCTCGGAGCAGCTGCTCGTGTGGTGGCAGCCCAGCTCGTCGCTGGCGTCGCCGCAGTCGTCGGAGTAGTCGCAGACCTGGGCGCGCTCGATGCAGTGCTTGTTGGCGCACTGGTACTGGGTGTACAGGTCGCAGGGCTTCTGCTTGCTGGCGCAGAGGGTCATGTTGTTCTCGTCGCTGCCGTCGCCGCAGTTGTCGATGCCGTCGCAGATCTGGTAGCGGGCGACGCAGCGATGGTTGGCGCACTGGAAGCGCCGCAGCGTGTCGCAGTTGAAGTCGCTGCAGACCTTGGGATCCTCGTCACTGCCGTCGCCGCAGTCGTCGGTGCCGTCACAGAGGTCGGTCAGCGAGACGCACAGGTTGTTGTTGCACTGGAAGCGCGACTCCGGGCAGAAGCGTCCGCCCGGGAACCGGGGCGGGCAGTCGATCTCGTCGGACATGTCCCGGCAATCGCGATCGCCGTCGCAGCGGAAGTAGCTGGCGATGCAGTGGCCGGAGGCGCATTGGAAGGTGCCGTTCTTGCACTGATAGCCCTCGCAGCTCATCTCGTCCGAGTTGTCGCCGCAGTCATCCTCGTGGTCGCACTGCCAGCGCGAGGAGATGCACTTGCCGTTGCCGCACCTGAACTCCGACTCGGAGCACTCGCGATAGCGGCCCTTGCAGATGGCGTCGTTCTCATCGCTCGCATCGCCGCAGTCGTCTGCGAAGTCGCACATCCACTGCCTGCGGGGGGGAAAGAGAAATGTTTTTGGGTTAGGTCAACTCGTTTATTCATCTTCTTCTTCTTGCCGTCGTCTTACTTGGGTATGCAGCGGTTGTTGCCGCACTTGAAGTCCGTCTCCGAGGAGCACTTGGGACAGTTCTCTGGCAGCTCGTCGCTGTTGTCGCGGCAATCGTCCTTGCCATCGCAGAACAGCCACTTGGGTATGCAGCGGTAGTTCGACTGGCCGGGACAGCGCTGCCAGCCGGTAGTGCAGTTGCGCTGACGGCACATGTAGGCCGGCTCGTCGGAATCGTCACCGCAATCATTGTCAAAGTCGCACATCCACAGCTGCGGAATGCAGCGTCCGTTCTTACAGGAGTACTCCGTCTCAGGATCGCACGTGCGCTTATCTGTATTCGATTTGAATTGATTATTAGATGTGCTTAGTCCCAGTCTGACTTATGCAAGCCCAGTGCACTAGGAATACTTACGACACACTAGAGGATCCTCGTCGCTACCGTCCTTGCAGTCAGCATCGCCGTCGCAACGCCAGCTGTCCAGTATACACCGTCCGCTGGTCTTGCACTTGAAGTCCGAGAGTGGGCAGGGCAGGTCGCAGTTTTGCTCGTCGCTGCCGTCGCCGCAGTCGTCGATGCCGTCGCATATCGTCGCCGAGGGAGTGCAGTTGGTGTTCTTGCACTGGAAGGTGCCGGCTCGGCAGTGTCGCGGTCCGCAGGTGGACGGCTCGTCGGAGCCGTCCTTGCAGTCCTTCTCGCCGTCGCACTTCCAGAACCAGGGTATGCACTTCTCGTCACTGCCGCCGCACAAATGCTGGCCCGACGTGCAGTTCGCAATGCAGGTCTTGGAGTCGCGCGCCAAGTAGAACTGATTGGGGCAGGCGCACTTGTAGCTGGGTGCGCCCTCCTCGGTGTAGCCCTCGATGTTCAGGTAGGTGGACTCCGGTGGCGGTGCTATCAAGCAGAGGTGCGAGCAACCGCCGTTGTTGGTGCCGCACGGATTGTGGTAGGGCAGCTGGCGCAGCGGATGATTGATGTGCAGGTCGTATGGGCGATGGGTTGTATTGCGCAGCACCGTGTAGTTGGCGCCATGGAACTTATTGGCGCGCACGATCGCCTTCAGATTCCAGTCGCTCCAGTAGATGTAGTCGTCGAACAGGCTGAGGGCAAACACATGGGGTACACTGCTGCCGGAGAGCACTATGTGACGGTGTCGGCCCTCCAGATCGGTGTACGCAATGTAGTCCAAGTGAGCATCGGCCCAGTAGATGCGGTTCGTAAAGTAGTCAATGGACAGGGCATTCGGCCAGGCGATGCCGTCATTCCAGTTCAGGATGCGCGTAAAGTTCGAGCCGTCCATGCCCATTTTGGCAATGTAGGCTTGCAGGTGCCAGGATGTGAAGTACAGGTAGCCAGTGCCCGGATGCACGACAATGGCGCGGGGATCGACAACGCCGCTGCGCAACGTCTTACGCTTGGTGCCGTCCAGCTCGGAGACGTCCAGGTTCTTGGAGTGCCTGTCCAGCCAGTAGAGCTTGCGTCCCACCCAATCAATGGCAATGCCCTCCAGACCGTGTGAGTCGTGTCTGATGACAGCTTCCCGTTCCGTCGGCTGCTCATCGCTGCGGCCCGAGTACTTGGCACGGAATATGGTCTTGGCGGTCACATCGCAGAAGTACATGTACTCATCCTTGATATCAAAGTCGAGGGCCACCACATTCATCAGATCCTGGTGCATGAGGTTGTACTGACGGCCGTCCACGGACATATTGCGCACGTAGTACTTGTTGGTGAAGATCAGCCAGGGCGGAATATTGTCCTTGCGCTTGCACGTGTGCTCGTCGTTTTGGCGCTCATAATAGTTCTCGTCGCACTTGCAGTAGAAGCTGCCCGGCGTGTTGGAGCAGTGCTGCGAGCAGGCGCCTGGCAGTTCCAGGCACTCATCCACGTCCACACAAGCCTTGCCGTCGGCCAACAACCTGCGCAGGGATAATAAGGTTTGGTTAGTTACGAATAGAAACGTTGGCGCTGAGAGGGATCTTACTTGTAGCCCTCGTTGCAGTCACAATAGTAGCCAGTGAGCGTGTCGACGCACTTGTGGCCACACTGATTGATCTCCACCTTCGCACACTCATCCACATTGCAGTGGGCTGGCTCGTCGGACTCGTCAGTGCAGTCGGGCACCTTGTTGCAGACCAGACTGTAGTCAATGCACTGCCCGTTGGTGCAGGCGAACTGCCCCTGGGCGCAGGTCACGTTCTCCTTCTTGCAGCCGACCTCATCCGAGTGATCGCCGCAGTCGTCTTCGCCGTCGCATCTGTATTGATTGCGTATGCACTTGAAGTTCTGGCACGTGAACTCCAGGGAGGAGCAACTCTTGTACTTGGAGTTGCAGAACTTGCCCTCGTCGGTGCCATCGCCGCAGTCGTTGTCGTGGTCGCAGGTCCAGCCCTGAAAGTGAATTCAACTTCGATTAGATTCAACTGTCGTGTGATTGCCGATTCAACTTGTACCTTATTTATGCACCGTCCGTTGCCGCAGGTGAACATATCCTCTCCGCAGGGCTGTTGAGTGGCGCAATTGTGGAGCGTTGTGTTCTCGTCGGCTCCATCCACACAGTCTGGATCGCCGTCACAAATCCACTTTTTGGGTATGCATTGGGCCCGCTGCCACGACTTGTTCTCCACGCACGTGAACTCCGTTTCCTCGTCACACTTGCGATCGTCTGCAATGGAACAACAAATTGATTATTGGCTTAGGCTCGTACATGAGAAGTAAGGGTCAGGTACCCTGAGCTACAGACGGGTTACTATTTTAAATTAGCTTGACATATATCAACGAATGGATAGGTTCCGAGTTAGCTAAACGACTCTCAATCGACTCCTCGACTGACAAACATATAGACTGAGATATAACGTGATTCTGTTTAGGATATATAGACAGAATGGGTAAATTTATTTCTACTTATGCTCGTTACGAACGGACGACCGACAGACCGGCAACCAGAGATAAATTGAGTTTGGATGGGGCTAGTTACGAAAAGATGAGCAGACAGACCAAATAATAGGGACAGCCCGATTACTAATCATTCTTGTCATGGATAGAAAGACATATGACCGAAAAATATGGGTAAATTGATTCCCGTTACGGATAGATAATCAGACAGATAATCAGAGATAAATGCATTCCTGATTATGCCTGCTACGGACGGACAAATACCGATAATCATATCATATTATATAAATAGATTCCTGATCATTCCTGGTACGGGTGGAAAAGCAGACAGACCGAGAAATAGAGTTAACTCGCTTCCTGGTCATTTCCGTTACGGATAGGCAAGCAGACAATCCAGCTTAAGCCTACTCGTGGTGATCATACATCTTGAGCTGAACCCACTTTACTCGAATGCCTAAAAGCATTTAGATGACTTACTGCACTGGTGCCTGTTGTCCTCGTCACTGTTGTCCAGGCAATCGTTGTCCCCATCACAGATGTAGATGCGCGGTATGCAGTTGCCATTGTCGCAGGTGAACAGATCGCCAAAGCAGGTGCGTCCCTCCGACTTGCAGTAGTCTGGTGGCTCGTCAGCGCCATCGCCGCAATCGTCGTCACCGTCGCAGTACCAAGTGGCTGGAATGCAGCGATGGTTGGGGCAGCGGAAACTGTTCGATGGACACGTGCGCTGGCCGCAATGCAGCGGATCCTCGTCCGAGTTGTCGCCGCAGTCGTTGTCGCCGTCGCACAGCCAGTAGGGCTCCACGCAGATGTTCGTCTTCTCGCACTTGAGGTGGTTGTGCGGGCAGGTGGTGTTCATGGGGCAGCGCTCGTGCGTCTCATCGGAGGTGGCGTTGTCCTTGCAGTCGTTGACGCCATTGCAGACCTGCGCCTGCGGAATGCAGCGTCCGTTGGCACAGGTGAACTCGCCATCCACACAGGGTGGATAGGTGCATCCAATCTCGTCTGAGCCGTCCTTGCAATCGTTCTCGTGATCACACTTCCAGGACTTGAAGATGCAGCGGCCGTTGTTGCAGCGGAATTCGTTGGGCGAGCACGAGTGATACGCACAATAGTTGGGATCCTCGTCGGAATTATCGCCGCAGTCATCGTCCCCATCACAGGACCACATGCGCGAAATGCACTTGCCGTTCTTGCAGTAGAACTTGCTGGCCTCGCACGTATTGTTTCTGGGTGCGCACATGCGTCCCTCGTTTACCACCTTGGAGTTGTCATCGCACTTGCACTCGGCCTTGCCGTTCGGGGCCGGATGACAGCTTTGCGCACAGCCGCCGTTGTTGATATTGCACGGATTCACGTTGCACTTCTGCCGATCGGCGCTGAATATGCGTATGTCACGGGGCGAATCCTCCAGCCGCTTGACCATCTCAACCATATTGGCGCCCGTATGCTTCTCGGCGCGATAGACGCCACGCAGCTGTAGATCCGTCCAGTAGATGTAGTCTCGGAAAACGGTGATGGAGAATGGATAAATTGTCGCTCCCACCAGCAACTCTCTGTTGCGTCCGTCCAGATCGGCTCGCTCGATCTTCTCGCGCACCGCATCCGTCCAATAAAGCTTGCGGTCATCGTAGTCAATGGCCAGGCCACTCGGCTGGGACAGTTCCTTGTCCACAATGGCACGCTTCAAGGAGCCCGCCATTGTCGTCCGGAAGATCTTGCCGGAGGTACTGTGGCGACCCCAGTCCGTGAAGAAGAGCGTTCCGTTGCATGGATCCAAGACAATGGCACGGGGGCGCTCAACGCGCGCTATCATGACTAGCTCGGTACCGTCCAGATTCATGGCGTAGATGGAGTTGTTGGAGCTATCAGTCCAGTAGATCTTGCTCTGGGTCCAGTCATAGGCGATGCCCTCGGGATTGATGCCCTTGCTGAGCACCACATTGATGTCACTGTGGCTCGGCTTGTTCGCCGAGGTGTGGGCGATCTTGGCCCAGGGTCGGATCTGGGTGTACAGCATGCGGTTGTGGGCAAAGTCAAAGTCCAGGCCCACAACATTGGTCAGATTGGTCAATGGGGTGAACGGCACCTCGGTCGAGTGCGGATCCAAGTTGACGGCGCGGATCTCGGTGCGCGTAGCGAATACCAAATACTCATTCACCGTCTCACACTTGCGACCGTCAGCCGCCAGTTTGCCTGTGGCGCAGTCGCAGCGGTAGTTGCGATTCGAGGGCTCCTGGGGGAAGCTGAAGCAGAGCTGGTCGCAGCCGCCGTTGCCGAGCTTGGCGCACGGGTTGTTGTCGTCGGTCGGCTGGTTGTTGATGTCGTAGATCGCAATGTCGGATAGTTTCTCCAAGTTGGTGCGCACTGGGGTGACCTCGCTGTTGTTGCCGTACAGCTTGGAGGCCTTAAATACCGAATTGAGATTGCCATCCACCCAGTATACATCGTTCAGGTAAATGGCAATGCCCACCGGATTGGGTAGGTCTCGGCGTATCACCTTGGCATTGACGCCATTGTAGGATATCTTCTGAATGGTATCCAGCTTGGAGTCCACCCAGTAGACATCGTGCGTTTGCATGTCGATGGTCAAGTCCCGTGGCTGCGAAATGCCCGAGGTGACCAGTGGGATCCAGTCACTGCCGTCCAGCAGAGCCTTGCCAATGCGCGGATGCTGTCCGTGATCGATCCAGTACAGCAGGCGCTTGATGGGATTCACGGCCAGCTCGCGCGGCGCATCGTTAGTCTTTTTGACGAGCACCTTGCGATTGGTTCCGTCCAGCCAGCATACCTCCACGTAGTTCTCGTGCGGATACACGTTCGCGAAGTACATATTGCCAGCCACCCAGTCAATGGTTAGGCCGTGGATGCCGTTGCTGCCAATGCCGTCCTTGATCACGTGCTGCAGGTCGGTGCCGTTGGGCCGTGAGCGGAATATGCCGTTCCAGTAGCCGCGATGGAACTCGGCCCAGTAGATCCACTGGTCGCGGAACAGAATGTCCACGTGGCGGATGTAGTGGCCGGGTCCGCTGATTGGCACCATGGCCTCGGAGCTTCCTTCCAGGCTGTAGCCGCGTATCATGTCCACCTGCGAGACGACAGCAAATGTCTTGTAGGCCACACAGTTGATCTCGTTCTCTTTGCGATAGCCGATGCCGCAGGCGCAGGTCCTCGTCGCGGCTGGACCTGGTATGCAGAGCTGTTTGCAGCCGCCGTTCGCGGTTTGGCAGGGATGCTGCATGAATGAGCGCTTCTTATAGATCATCATGCTGCGCAGCTCGGGCTCGTTGTCCACAATCGTCTTGGGATTGTTGCCGTTCGGCAGATCGACGCGCACAATCTTTTCATAGGTTGGATCCAGGTAGTATAGACGGTGGTCCAGTACGCCCAGGCTGCGTACGCGCGAAATGGCGTTCTTCTCGTCGAGTATGACCCGGTGATCGTCGCCATTGTAGTCCATCGAGCAGATCGAGGCCGTTGAGCTGGTGCTGTAGTATATCATCTTCTTGTCAGTGTCCAGGGTGATGCTCTCAGGATGCTTGAGGTCCTTGCGCAGCACCCGTGCGTCCTGGCCGTTCATGTCGACTCGGGCGATTTTGATCTCGAGCACGCCCTCGTCTATCCAGAACAGCTTGCCCTCGCTTGGATCCAGCACCAGTTGCTTTGGCTTCGACACGGAGTTCTCGCTGCCATTGTTGGCCAGAATCACGGTGCGGTATTTCTGCTTGCCGTCCACGCGAACTGCCTCAATGTTGCTGGCGACGCGATTGCCAATGTAGAGGTTGCGGCCCAGCCAGTCGAAGGCGATGGTGTAGGGCGCGCCCACAATGCCATTTTCCACGCCCAGGAAAAGCGTCTTGTTGCCGCCGCCGTACGGTGTCGTGTAGATGGTGCAGTTCTCGTCGTCGTCCTCTCGGCCCTGCACCCAGTATAGGGTTTCGCCCTTCCGGTCAAAGTCCAGCCCGGTGCTGCTCTCGATGCCAATGACGGGCGCCAAGGCGCCGGCACGCGCATCTCCTCCATTCAGCGGCAGATCGACAATCTGAGTTCCCTTCACAACCATTAGGTAGGGATTCTCCTCCTCGATGCAGCGACCCTCACTGTGCAGCCTGAAGCCCGGCTTGCACTTGCAGGAGTAGCCCTCCGGCGCGCTCGGACTGAGCAGACACAGATGCTGGCATCGGGCTTGGGCACATGGATTCGGGTACATCGGCTGCAGCGAGGCGTGATGCACGTGAATGGAGAGCGGCTGGCTGATCAGGTGCGAGACGACAGTTTGGTTCTTGCCGCGGAACTTATTGGCCGACAGCACACGGTTCAGCTGCCGGTCCGTCCAGTAGAGCGTGTCCTCGAACAGGGAGAGCGAGTGGGGATGCAGCAGGTAGTGGCTGCTGGCCAGCACCTGTTGCCGGCCCGTGCCGTTGTAGTAGCAGAAGTCAATGAAGTCCAGCTTTGAGTCGGCAAAGTAGACGCGCTTCGTTGCAATGTCCAGGGTCAGGCCGTTGGGCCAGTAGATCTTCGTATTTATAATCGTCTTGCGCATGGTGCCGTCCATGCCGATGCGTTCGACACGCGGATTCTCGCCCCAGTCGGTCCAGAAAATGAAACGCGCATCGGGACTGGGGTCAATGCACATGCCACGCGGCTGAGTGATGCTCTCTCGCACGAGCACCAAGCGGTTGGAGCCATTCTCTGCGGAAACCTCGATGGTGTTCAGCTTGCTGTCCAGCCAGTAGAGATTCTGGGCAATCCAGTCGTAGGCCAGGCCCTCAACCAAGTCCAAGCCGGTGGTGATGATCTCCTGTGGCTCCATGCCGTGATCAAGTCGCGATATCTTCTTCAGCTTCATGTCGCTCCAGAAAATGGTGCCGGTGTGCATGTTCGAGGCGGTGGCCACTACATTCTCAACGATAATGGGCACGCGCTCCAGGCCCTGCTCCTTCAGGTCGGCAACCAATATGGAGTGGCGGTTGGATATGATCAGGAAGGCAGCTGTGTGATTCACTGCCTTGCAGGTATGCTTGTTGGGGCCTAGCGTATAGCCCTGGGTACAGGAGCAGAAGTACGAGCCCTTCGTGTTCGTGCACTGCTGAGAGCAGAGTCCGGGTGGGTCGCACTCGTTGGTGTCCACGCAGGTGAATCCGTCTGGTCCGATCTCTGAGCCGGGCGGGCAGACGCAGAGCGCTCCGTTGGGCGTCTTCTGGCACAGTGTCGAGCACTGGCCCGACTGATGCTCGCATTCGGCCAGGTCACAGCCCTCGCCCTCATCGGCCCCGTTGGGACAGTCGGGCGTATCATCGCAAACGGAGGTGATGTTCACGCAGCGCTCCGTCACGCCCGGACACTGCCACTGGCCGTGGGGGCACTTGAAGGGCGGCGGCACGCAGGCGTGCTCTGTGCCCTCGTCCGAGTTGTCGCCGCAGTCGTCCTTGCCATCGCAGATGTACGCCTTGAACACGCAGTTGGTGTTGTTGCACTTGAAGAAGTTCTGGGCGCACGTGATCTGCCCGCAGTCCTCCTCGTCCGAGTTGTCCGGGCAGTCGTTGGTGCCGTCGCAGTGCCACGCAATGGGTATGCACGCACCGCTCGACTTGCACCGGAACTGCTTCTCCACGTTGCACTGGTTGGGCCCCATCGAGGGGCAGCCTAGCTCGTCGCTGCCATCGTTGCAGTCGGGTATGCCGTCGCACTTGTACGACTCCTCCACGCACTGGCGCAGGTCCGCGCACTTGAACTGGTTGGCCAGGCAGCTTATCGGCGGGCAGTCCTTTTCGTCCTGCTTGTCAAAGCAGTCGTCGTCGCCGTCACACACCCAGCTCTGCGGTATGCAGTGCCCTGTTCGCGGGCAGGTGAACTGGAAGTAGGCGCAGGTCTTCTCCGCGCAAAAGTCGCCCTCGTCGCTGCTGTCGCCGCAATCGTTCTCGCTGTCGCACTTCCACATGCTGGGTATGCAGCGTCCGTTGGCGCAGGCGAACTGCGATGTGGCGCAGGTCACGTTGCCGCAGTCCAGCTCATCCGAATTGTCGCCACAGTCGTTCTCCTGGTCGCAGCGGAAGTTCAGCGGGATGCAGCGCCCTGACTTGCACTGGAACTCATTCGAGCCACAGGTGGGTTCTGTTCAAAAGTATAGAGAATTCAGTTAGTCGATTTTATTGAAGCACTGTGCCCTATCAGACTATCTAATCCAAAGCATCAACTCTTCTCTACTCCCGACTTAGGATACTACAAAACAGCTCTATACATACATATCTATTGAATTTTATTTAACAGTTTGAATGGAGACAAGTTGATTTTGTTGGTATTATGTGCTTAAAATAATAATCGGGTCAGAACTCAGCTCTATTTTAATTTCGGAAGAAGCAAGTTGCGGAACTTTAGTTCGAATGGTATAGGAAATATTCAATATTAACTGAGAAGAACTACGCTATTTATGCATTTGCTAACCAATTGTAATACGCCACTTCTCACTAGAAATGTCCTCTTGGATAAGGAGGCATCGATAGCTACTTACTTGTGCAGTTTTGCTCCTCGTCGCTGTTATCCAAGCAATCGTCGTCGCCGTCGCAGAGCCAGGACTTGGGTATGCAGCGTTGATTGTTGCAGGTAAAGTCCCACAGATTGGGGCAGGGCTGGACCGGAGGCTCGGCGCTGGGATCGGGAATGCAGTTGACTTGATCGTCAGCCAGGCGCTCGCCGTACGGGCAGGAGCAGCGCGATTGCAGACGACCCGACACGGCCGTAGAATCGTTCTGTGATATGGGAATGGCAAAGCATATCTTCTGGCAGCCGCCGTTGTTCAGATGACAGGGCTGGGTCTCGGAGATCTGTTGCACCTCGCGGCTGTACACCTTGACGCCGTAGAGTCGGTTGGTTTGGGGCTCGCGCACCATCATCTCCTCCTGCTCGCCGGTGAGCTTGTGCAGTCGAATGATCGCGTCCAGGCGCCAGTCCGTGATGTACATCCAGTCGTTGTGGATCACAATGGAGAAGGGATGGCGCACCAGGCGTGAGTTGACGGTTTTGATGTCGGTGCCATCCAGATTGGCGTGCTGCACATGGTCCAGCAGAGCGTCGCACCAATATACACGGTCCTCCTTGAAGTCAATGGACAGACCGTTGGGCCAGCCCAGGGTCACGTTGCGGAACACCAATAGACCGCTGCCGTCGGTATTCGCACGCGTGATGTTGGCGGGACGATCCCACTCCGAGAAGAATATGTAGCCGCGATTCGGGTGCACGACAATGGCGCGCGGGCGCTTCAGGTTCTTCAGCAGAGTGCGTCGGTGGGTAACGTTGCGCGTGGAGAGCACATTGAGGGTGCCCTTGCGCGAGTCGATGTAGTAGAGGTTCTTGGACGCCCAGTCCACTGCCAGGCCCTCGACGCCCTCGTTCTGCGAGGCCAGCACGATCTCCCGGCCCGTGCCGTTGCGGTGCACTCGATAGATGACGTCCTGCAGCACGTCTGAGTAGTAAATGAACTCGTCGCGGGCATCAAAGTCGAGCCCAACGAAGCGGGCGCGTCGGGAGACCACCGGCAGGATGGCATCGCTGAAGCCCTCGATGACGGGCTCCAGGACCTTGCCCTTGATGAAGCGCTGCTGCGAGTACATGAGGAACTCGCGGACGAGCTTGCAGTTCTTCAAATCCGTCTGCAGCTGATAGCCCGTGTGGCAGGCGCAGCGGTAGCCCAGTCCCGTCGGAGCGCCCTTCACGGCCGTGACGATGCACATGTGGTTGCAGCCGCCGTTGTTGTTGCCGCAGGGGTTCGAGACGTGCGGCTGGCTGAGCGCGTGCACCGCAATAATGCCCTTCGGTTCGTGAATGTCCTTGGCCTTGTAGGTCACCTGGATGGAGCTGGGCCCCTCGAACTTGTCGACGGACATGATGCCCTTCTTGGTGGCGTCCGTCCAGTAGATGCGGTTCTCGAATAGCGCCAGCCGCGAGGGGCTGGGCACGTTCTGGCCGCGCAGCACCATGACGCGCTGGGCGCCCTCGTAGTCAACCGACTCGATGTAGTCCAGCAGGGAGTCGCACCAGAAGACGCGCTTGCCAATGATGTCGACGGTGACGCCGCTCGCCTTGTAGGCGGCCTCCGAGACGATGGAGCGGGCGTGCGTGCCGTCCATGTGGGCGCGCAGTACCTGGCCACCGTCGGCGACAAACATGAGGCCAGCAGTGGGGTCCAGGGCCAGGTCGGCGGGGCTGGTGAGGTTGGAGCCGAGCACCACGGCATGCCAGTGGCCGCTCAGCTCAAAGACGTCGATCTTCTGGCCCACCAGGTCGGCCACGTAAATCTTGTCGCCCACCCAGTCTACGGCCAGGGCCACGGGCGCCCAGGTGCCGGGCAGCGTTTGGTCCAGAGGCGCCACAGCGCTGTTCAGCGCATCCAGCGGCAGCGACTGCACCTTGCGCGTCTTGATGTCCGACCAGTAGAGCGTGTTGCGGGCATAGTGGAAGGCGACGCCCGCGGCGGCGGTGGCATTGGCCAGCACCTTGGGCTCGCTGTCGTGCGCGTTCATGCGCATGATGGCGCGATCGTGGGCGAAGATCAGCTGCAGATTGTTCGCATCCGGGGCAATGCACTTGGACGAATTGATGAGCATGTAGCCCTGGGCGCACTGGCAGGTGTAGCTGCCGGGCGTGTTCGTGCACAGCTGGTCGCAGTGGCCCCACTCGGCGCACTCGTCCAAGTCGATGCAGGTGCGGTTGTCTGGCGCCAGGCTCTGGCCCTGTCGGCAGTAGCAGACGCCGCCGGTCAGCGAGGGGCCGCACTTGAACTCGCAGCTCAGCGCTGGGCAGGAGTCGATGGCTGCAAGGATATCATTTCGTCAATAAGAAGACAAGCTGATGTGGGGTGTGGGGTGTGGGGTGTGTGGGTGAGGCAATGGGAGTACTTACAGCATGCCGTTTCCTCATCGCTGCCATCCTCGCAGTCGCGCTTGCCGTCGCACAGCTGCGATTTGAGTATACACTTGGGTGCACCGTTGAGGCCGCCGCGTGGGCACAGGAACTTGTTGTCGGGACAGGCGATGGCCGTGCAGTTGGCCTCGTCGCTTTCGTCGGCGCAGTCGTTGTAGCCGTCGCAGTGGAAGTTGTACGGGATGCACAGCGCATTCGAGCAGCGGAATTGCGCATGGTGGCAAGGGGGGAAGTCTGCAAAGAAGGCGATTGTGAAGTTGGCTGTTGTGACAGACCGACGCGTGTTAGGCACTCTCCGCCCGCCCTGTATACTCACTGCAGCCCTGCTCGTCCGAGTTGTCGTCGCAGTCGTTGCGATGGTTGCACTTCAGCGCCGCGTCAATACACTTCTGCCCGTTGGCGCACCGAAACTGATCCAGGCGACAGGGGACGCCGCTGCAGCCCTCCTCGTCGCGTCCGGTTCGACAGTCCAAGTAGCCGTTGCAGCGCTTCTCCTTGGGCACACACGGCCCGGTCAAGCGGCTGCCCTCCGCCGGAGTTGACCCAACAGGCGCATTGCAAAACACGTCCGTATGCAGGCACTTGCGATAGGCTGTAAGAATGAGGGAATGAAATGAAGTCGAAGCCGGGCTTTCACTTTAAATATTGTTCAAAAGAGCAACAGAAACACTCGATGTTCCTAACAAATCAAATCGAATTGTAGCACAATTTCGAGAGCTGCTAATCCCTTTTCATTAGGAATTTACTCGAACTATGGACACAATTGAGGCTTACGCTGACAAAAAATATTTATTAAATTGTATGATTATGTATACTCGTTCGAATATATGTATGTACATGTACTAGATAATCTCTTTTAAAATCAGAAAAAAAAATTAATTTTTAGCCTTTGCTGATGGGATGGTGTATTAAAATTGCAATTCGGAGAATCAAGGTACAAAGGTGTAGGAGACATAATTTAATTACTGATTTTCGATAGAGACTCTTATTTGATAGCAAAATAACGGGAACTGTTATCGATTTTTGGAGACAAATTCGATCTGAGCATATACATATCTAGCTCATATATCTTCCGAGATCGACGCGTTAAAATATACGGATAGACGGACTGGGCAAAGTTGACTCAACCTGATCAAGAAAATATTTAGTTTATGGCATCTGCCACGCCTCCTTCTGCCTGTTACATACTTTTAAGATTGTGCTCTGATTTCCCATTTTCCATGGGGAAATAGTGTAAGCCTGTATGGCAAATGTCATAAAGGTTTGTGTGAAAGTGAATTAACTGGTGTTTTATTACTAGAGTCTTTCAAAAGTTTTCGACAACAGCAAAACCGAATACATATTTTCCGGAACACACAGTTATGGAACTTAAAAGACTTGAACTTTGAGCTCAAATGTAAAGCTTGAAATGTAAATTTCTTCCATTGTATTTCAGTGCCTGCTACAGTTGAGTTTGATTTTTGTTGTCCTTGTCTTGCAGTTAGTTCCAAGCAGACACATAAATTAATTGGCTGTATGCTTGGGTGGTCGGGTGGTTGGGTGGTAGCCAGTTGAGGTGATTGGGATGTGTCTCTGTCACTACACTTAATTATAGAGCAACTAGCCTTCATCTGACATGTAGACACGCACACACACACACACGCACACACGCACACACACATGCGACTGGCCCAGAGGTGTGATATTGACGTTGATTGTTGTTATTGGACCCGTACACAGTGTGAAGTCTGCTTTGCGGGTAATGGGATTCCGTTTGCGTAGGCAGCCTGCTTAGCTGTGTATGTGTGTGTGTGTGAGGCAGCAAACGGCAAATTAATCAAATTTACATTATGTCAACACGCTCGACAAACGGCAGTTGGCAGTTGTCCACTTCAAAGACGAGCCTGCCAATTAAGCGTGTGACCTGCTTGTTCCGCTGCCTTCGGGCAGCTATTGGGCAATAATTTAGCTGAGATCCAAGAAAATGGCTGCACAGCAGGCGGCCGGACGGAGCTGAGGCCCGTGCCCGCACTCGTGCTTGTGCTTGAGCCCCTGCTCCTGCTCCTGCCCCTGCCCCTGCCTCGGGGTAAGTTTTGGAGAATGGACGCGCATGGCCTGATGCCTCCATTCATTGCTATTGTTCAAACAACACACACACACACACACGGCGCTGTGGAGGAGTCTGTGAAGACCGCCAGGGAGTGGATTCCGCACACCACAGGCGCCTGGGAGCTTAAAAATGCCTGCAAAATACATGCGCTCAACTATTGCTGCCAAAGACATTAAATTTTGATGCCAGACATCGGGCGAGTGGCGTTGTCTGCCGTCCGTTCGTTGGTTGGCAACATGGAGCCAGAGCGTCCGACCGACCGACCGACCGACCTCTGTCAGTGGCATGTACCCACACACACACACACTCACATAAATACATGGACAACGGTTGGGCACGCATGGCGTATACGTAATGCACACAGCTGTAGATACGCCGGGACGTTACTATCCCTCCTGGCACCCGTCTCATCGGTCGCTCTGCTTCTGTCTTAGTCAGAGTCGGCCCGCCCGCTTCTAGCTCGCACAGACTCCTGCCGCACAGTGGTTCGCCGTGAGACAAAAATGCCTTTGTCTTACACACAATTCAATATCCGGGCGTAGATATCGATTAATCTGGGCCCAACTTGAGTTGACAGCCCAGCAGTTAGGCGTCGTTCCTCAAGCTGATAATTTAAGATGCGGTGCATCTCTAGAAATAATTTGCAGCGCGTGCTCACTGTACTCGTGTTGCGCACTTGAGCTGTGAGTTGGCAGGCAAAGTGCTATAAATTATCGAGTAGTTGGCTGCAGCGCTCTGGGCCGGACCGGGCGGAGCAGCGGGGCACGGCCGGGGCATAGTCCATCAAGCTGGCTACAAGAAAGAGGTGGCCATAGCTCAGCTCAGCTCAACTCGGCGAAAGTTGTGGCAAAATTATAGCCGCTTGATTCGGGCTCTGGCTTAAATGGCAATGCTCAGATAATGCGCCATGTGCCGCCCGAATTAAACGTCTTGCCATCCCAGACAACAACTGCGATATAGACAGAGACAGAGATGGAGATGGAGAGATAGATAGAGATAGTGCGCGGGACATGATGATCTATGCCACTTTCGAGTTACTTTCGGTGTAGGCATAATAAAGTTTGCAAAGGTTTCTTTTTTCCACCTACCGCCATCCGGCAGTCATAAAAGAGCCCGTCTTGACTGCTGTTGCTTCTGTTATTCCTGTTGTTACACTGAGTTGTTGTTGTAGCTGCTGCTGCTGCTGCTGCTGCTGCTTCACATTAACGGCGTACTGGGGTAGCCAAGTGTAGCAGAGCAAACTTAATTAGTGCAAGTTAAACAAGCCAAGTTGTATAAATATTCCCCGGCAGCACAAACTTTTGTAGCACAACAATAAAATGTGTGTGTGTGCGTGCAGGTAGCCACGATTCCTGTTCACCCAGTTCACCCCTACCAATGGCATGCCCATCTGCAAGCAGCCAACCAGCCCCGTCTCCCGCCCCCTTTTCTCTTCACCTCTATTGACAATGCGAACGCCTAGTCCAACTTTACAGAGGCTAAGCCTGAGACAAACTGCGACGCAGACTCGCTGCCCGGAATGGGCTCAAGCATCTGTGGAGTGGTGAGCAATCATAAACAAGATACAGCAGCTGGCTTTGTTACAAATTTGAAGATCATCGCATACCCTTCCGCCCTGCGGGGCGCAGTGACTGATGCAACTCAATATTGTTTCTGAATGAAATTAAAATGTGCGTTAATGAGGCTGAAACTTTAGTAGGAGCAACTAATTAAGCCGGAGCAAGATTACAGGACTCGTGGCGCAGGGCGTGGGTGACACAGAAGCAGCGATTACTGCAATTAGTATTTTAATGTATTTAGTATCTCAATTAGTATTTTCACTAATATCATCAATATTATTATTATTGTCACTATTATCATTGACATCATTGTAATTATTTATACTAATATTATGATTATGAGAGAGAGAGAGATCCCAATATTATTTTAGTATTTTCATTATCATTATTAGTCTCATTATTATATTAGTCTAATTTATTCGATGGTGTGACTATTTCGATTTCTATTAGACAATACAATCAGTATCATTATCATTCGTATTATTATTGTTATAATTGTAATTATTTATATTATTATGATTCGAATGAAACAGTAGCCGTAGCGTCCTTTCGTACGGCCAGCCCATTATTATTCATGTCCCATAATTGGAATTGTAAATATCATAATCATCAATCTCATTATCACTGCGGGCATTATTACGCGTATCATCGCCGGACTGCGCTCAGGGGAACACTAACACTAAGCCGCACAGACAGATGCAGGTGCCCAGACCTGGCCTGGCACTCTCATGTCTGTCTGTCTGTCTGTCTGTCTGTGTACATGGCTCAGTGTCGCAGGATTCGTGATAAATTTGGAATACTCTCACTGCGAAGGCATGAAGAATGTGTCACGCACTTTAGCGCTTGCTACATTCAAAGTGCCAAGACGCTGGCACAGCAACAAGGGCTGCTGCCCCCACTCCTGCTGCAGCTGCAGTCGCAGTTGCAGCTGGGCCAGAAGTTAAAGTTGCAGTTACAGCTGGCTGGCTCGCACTTGGCCATTGACAAGATTAACGCGCACAATTTGTTGCAAATTCGCTTTCGCTGCTGTTGCATTACATTAAAAACAAATCATAATGACAAACGAGTGGGTGGCTGGCTGGCTGGCTGCCTGGACGGCTGGACGGTTGGACGCTTGACTGCAACTTTTGTGCAAGGTCATAAAAATGTTGAATGCTGAATGCTGAATGTTGCGCTGTGGGCTGCGGACTGTGGACTGTGAACTGTGGGCTGTGGGATGCCAGGCCGTTAACTGCTCGCTGCTGCATGCCACTGGGTTTTGGGGCGCCGCTCGACTGCTGCTTCATTTTTCACATTTTGTGCAGTGCGCAGAAAGTTGAGCTGAAAACTTTAACTGGCTGCGAGGACGGCGCTGTTGTTGGCACTTTATAAACACTGTGAAGAGCGATGGCCCGAAGGGGGGGCGGCGGAGGTAGGAGTGTAGGGGGTGGAATGTGGAGAAGTTTCAAGTGCCCTGTGGCCACTGGCTTCTGCCTGCCTCACATCACGACATGAGCCCCGCCATGCCGTGCAACACTTTCTAATTGGTAAGTGGAGGGCGTGGTCGTTGAGGAGGAGAGCGGGAGAGGGGGTGGGGTGTAAGGGGTGGTCTGGTCTGGATGTGTGCATTAACATTTATCGCAGGCAGCAAACGAATCGCGCAGTGTAAAAGTTGTGATTCGTATGCGTGTATTAGTGCCTCTGTGTGTGTGTGTGTGTGTGTGTGTGTTGAATTGCCTTGTGTAATTACGCGCGACAAGTTGCAGCCCCACCACCCAGCCAGCCAGCCAGCCAGCCAACCGACAAGCCACTCGTCTAAGGTCCATCTCCGCTGGACTAGATGGCTCAGAGCTTTTCTGCACGTCTAACTGGCCTGACAGCTGCAGTCAAATAAACGTCAGTTGTTGCCAACTTTCGCCGGGTTCAACGACAGTTTACGACAGCTTTGCCTGCAATGGGCAGCAAGCGGGAGACGAAGGCGAAGACGGGGCAGAGTGTGGAGGCAACGTTTAGTGAAAGTGTAGTGGATGGAATGCCAAATGTACCCACTTCTGGGCAACGGACAACAAGTCGAGTTGATCATTTTAGTTGTTCACCTTTTGGGGTGTGGGCGCGGAAGGGGGCGCATGGGGCTGGGGGCGTAACTGCTGGGCGCCTGCTTTTACGCACTTTTTACGCTTCTTTCATTTTGCGAGGCAGCTGCCTCATTAGTTCGCGCACCCACCCACTCCTCCTCCGCCAATCTTATGCGCATTTGGATGCCAAACCCAGTTTGCAATTAAAAGCAGTTTGCCTGTCTTTCTCTCTTTGTGAAGCGCACCTCCGCTCAGGTGGCTTAAGGGCCAGGCCAGGTGTTGGCATGGATGGAAGCCACTGCTGTTTTCGAGCTATCCACAGACACAGCGCAGACACAGGCAGCAGCAGAGCTGCAAAGCACTCGCGCTACTTGAGTTACTCTGCTTACAGCAGCCAAGCCAAGCCGTCTATGCCGCACCACCGGGCCACGCCGGGCCACAGCGGCTACGTCTGCATAAGGACATTTAATTAAACACTCAATGGCGCTGCTTGCTGGCCGGGTGACCTCGTCGAAAGGATTTCTCTCTTCTTTTCTGTTTTATTCGTGTTGCTCTTCTTGTTGTTGTATTTAATGCTCTGCTTAGAGCTGCTGTAAAACTATTAGTTGCCGGAGCCCCAAAGCCTCAGAGCCTCAGGTTGCGGTGGCTCTGATGCATGCAGAGCAGCGGTGAGAAAAGCTCACGTTTAATTTCCAGGGGCAAAGCAAACAACTTAACGCACACCTGAAGTAATTAAATAGTTGAAATAAGCTCGCTCTAATATTTATATGCCATAAATTAAATAAACAAAGGTGCTCGCAAATGGAAATGGAGATGGCGATATGAAAGGCAAAGGCAAAGGCGAAGACGAAGGCGAAGGCGAAGATGATGCCAACGGTGATGGAGACACAGACAAGCACCCGCAAAGCAAACACACATCAAGATACACACAGACAGAGACAGAGGCAGAGACAGAGACAGAGACACTCACATTCACACACACACAGACTCATAGAGAGAGACACACACAAATCAGCCCCTGACACCAGCATGGAAATCGAGGACAGACAACTAGCAGACGGGGAAGGCATTCAGAGACGACGCGTTGACACGTACGCAAAATAAATAAGTTGAGAACGCAATAAGAGCGAACATTTTGTCGCCATTTAAGCGCGATAAATTATTGTAAGAGACAGACGCACAGAATGTCTGAGGCGAACTGGTAACTGATCGGTGAGCAGATACCCTGTAAGAACAACATGAAAATGATTAGGCGAGCGAGAGAGAGGAAGAGACAGGGAGCGCGAATGAAAGAGAGGGAAAAAGAGAAAGTGAGAGTATCATAGAGCGAGAGTTAAAGAGTGATATGTAACGAGAGTGACATTGAACGAGAATGAGATTGCGTGGATGAGAGTGAGAGTAACATAGAGTGAGAATCAGAGAGAGTGTGTTAGAGGGAGAAAATAGAAAGGCGAAATGGCTGAGGGACTTAGTGAAGGAGACTATCTGAGAGAGGGAGGGATGAAGGAGAGAAAGAAATAAATGAAAAGATAATGACTCAGAAAGAGAGTGAAGGACGGAAAGGGAGAGAGAAAGGCAGAGAGGGAGAAATGAGTTGACTGAAAGAGCGAGTGAGATTGTGAAAAGGATTGATAAGCAGGGACAGAAGGCGACAAAATGATAGAGAAAGAAGTTGAATGAGAAGAGAGCTGAAGCAAGTGATAAAGAGAGTGGGACTGAAGAGGAAAATGAAATCTTGATCTTTCTTTTCCTCTTCGATAGGAGAAAGACAGCGGAAGCAAGAGAGAGGTATTAAAGATGCTTATGAAAAGGAGAATGATAGTGAAGGAAAGAGTGAGAGAGAGAGAAGATCTAGGGACAGTTTGTATACATGGAGAGCATAGAGAATATATCCATATAAGAAGTCAAATGCAGATAAATTCACACAACTATCGTTCAACTCCTACGTTTCATTCAGCTAGGTGCACTTTCAGAGCAGAATATACCCATTGAGAGGAGAATAGTAAAGGATATCCGCGGCGAGACAGAGTTTAGCTCGCATCTTATTAAATTAAAACCAAATTTAAACTTGATCTTGCGCCAGTCAATGCCTATAGAGAGGCGGGGGGTGCGGAGCGAGCGAAGCGTTGCTCTCCGACAAATTGGCCATCTTGCATCAGCCAAAACAATAGCAACAACAATAACAGAGCCAGCAACAACTTTAACAAGGAGCAATATGAGAGAGCTGTTTCGAAAGACGACGACGAAGACGAAGACGAGGAGGAGAGCGAAGCGAGAGGGACGGGCACATTGAGGACAAAGTTGTGCGCGTTTGTCTAGCGTCAGTCAAAGCTTAAGCAAAGTTGTAAAGGCAACGGAGTACTTAGGAGTTGGTCGCTCAAAGATATTTAAATTTATAAATCTTAAATAACAAGCAATAAATGCAGCTGGCCTTTGCACCCACACCCACACCCACACCCACACCATGACTCGTCCGTCCAGCTGCTCGCTTCCCAGACTCTCTCGCCCTCTGGCCCCCGCCTTTGTGTGCTAGGACAAAAGTTTTAATCAAAGTGTGCCGTACGTATGGTCTGGTCCGTCGGCCGAGCAGTTGGGATCTCCTCGCCAGCGTCAGATGAAGATGCATGGCGTCTAGCTGGAGCTGCCTCTAAAACGTTAAAGCCAATCCAAAGCCCGCTCAAGCAAAACATCTTCAAAATATTCCAAGTCAAGCAAGCACTGGGCAGCTCTCAATTAGTATTTGCCTCTGAGGAGCTGCAGCTATCGAATATCAACAATGTGATTGATTTACAAAAGGCAAAAGCATTGCGTTGTTGCAGAGCTGGGGATGAGTCCCTCCTACAATCTCGTTGGCGAGCTGTTAAGGTAACTGTAAAATACACATACTATCTTGGTGTGTGCGTGCATTAGCCAAATCAAATCAATTGAAGACTGAACTCAATCGAATAATAATCACGTTACATTCCCATTCGTAATACCTGGATTGAACTTGTAGGGGCGAAAATGCTATTCACAGTATATGATATATCTGATCTATAAAATATATAATTTTCTCTTATCCTAAGGGAAATATAAGATTGGGTTTTGCAGTCAAATGGTGAAAGTGCTTAAGCAATGGAAACTTTTCGATGAGAGAAAACCGAGCTAAGTCCGTGCAAAGTTTTCCATTTGATTTGATGAACCACTTGATTCATTTCCATAGACTTTGTTATTATATTTCATTTTATCACATCTTCAGCATTTGAATTTCAAGAGAACACTTCAACCATCAAATTTATTAACGTGATCTAATGCCGGAGATCTACTGTCTTTTTTTAAACTTTTCTGTAATCGATTTTCAATGTCTCATTTTCGAACGGTTTTAACGTCTTCCTTATTTCGAGCTCAAAGCTTGCGCTCTCGGCGACCGACGCTCGACTTCCATTTGCAGGCATGTCATCGTCAATTTCAGGGTTCCTACATATATGTGTATGTGAATATGTATATGTGTATATATTTGCCCACATGTGTATTGGCTAGAGTATTTCCAATCATTAGGTCATCATAGAATTCCAGGTATTTCCCAGCTGGGCACTCCAACACTCTACAGTTTTATAGATTTCTGTATGGCTCTCAAGACAAATTGAGGCGCCTGACTACCTTACGAATATCAGTGAGCAAATCGATTAGTCAGTCAAGGAAAATTCGACTTGAGGCATGAGTTCTTAGGAATCTATTAAGAGAAATGCTGCGTGGATGGAGCTTCGTTTGAATTACATTGAAAAGCTTACTTGAAATTGAATTCATAAATTGCTGATTTTGAGCAGTCAACATCTAAGAGGAGAGGAAATAAAATAAAAAAAAAAAAAAAAATTTGCTGGCACCGTGTAAGCTGCTCCGCTTCTAGCCCCCCGTAAATCCCGCTGCTCTATCCCTGCATGAGCAGGACCAAATGGTCCTGGCTTTGCTTTGCGTGGCGCACCTTGGTTACACACACTTAACTTTGGAATTTGCCAACTTTTGGGGGATTCTGCAATTGCCAAGAGCTAACTTTCGACAAAATGCGGTCTGACTGTGGGTGTACGGGTGCGTGTGTGTGTGTGTGAATTTGGCAAAATTTGCATAAATAAAATTGGTATAATAAAATGTAAACATTTTGCTAAGCAAATTGTTGGCGCGCACACATGAACCGAACGAAACTCTGAGCCCGACTGAACTGAAATGAACTGTAAATTTAATCGGGCTGCTGAAGGTGAAGGAGCGTGATGAAGACCGGGTGGGGCCAGGCTGGTGCGTGTGCTGGAGGTACACGTTTTAGGTGTAGCCGATGCTGCACTCACAAGCGATGCTCACAAATATTTGCTGACTCAACAAATTTGCATTGAAAAGGAATAAGACACACAGTTTGTGGTTAACGGGCACGGAAGTGGCGAGGGGGGGGGGGGAATTTGTTGAAATATGCATGCGGTTTACTTACGGCACTCTGCCTCGTCCGACTTGTCCTCGCAGTCCTCGATCATGTCGCAGCGGTAGTGCTGGGGGATGCAGTACGTCTTATTGAAGACATATTGGCCGCAGTTCAGCTGAGGCGCCTCGCACTCGGGCGGCGCTGCAATGTGGCGAGAGAGGGGAGAGAGTGAGTGAGCGAGTGCGGTAATTGCCCTTGGAGTTGGGTGGGGCAGGGTGGGTCTACTTACGGCACGACTGCATCTCATCCTCGCCATCGTCACAGTCCTTCTGGTAATTGCAGACCCAGTGCGAGGTTATGCATTTGCCATTGTTGCAGCGAAACATTTCCGGGGGGCAGGGCGCATTCGAGGCGGCTATCGAGCTGCTGCCCGCGCCCTCGCCCAGTCGCACGCCTGCAAGGAGAACGAAAAACATGAGAATTACAGTATTTAGAGCGCAGCAGGTTGTCATTCATTGTGCGGCCTGAATCCAATTGAGCCATCCGACTTTGGACTGAGCCCGCCGAAGTTCTTCGAAACGGCAATCAGAGAGCAATTCACCACAAGTGGAGCGCAGCGTTTGCACCGGGGCACTGCTGGGCGATCGAAAGTTTCGAATGGATATTCAAACGAAATTGATTCACAATCGTCTTTATAATTCGTCTGCAATTTAATTCACTTCATTTGAGCTCTGTGCCCACTACTGGGGCCAACGAGCGCTTTAATGCAGACTTCAGAGCTCGACTGCCCAAAGACTCTTATATTGTGCATTTTACCGCACAACAATAACAACAATAACAACAACAACAATAACAACAGCAGCAGCGGCAGCCGTAACTTTTCTACAGAAAGGGACGAAAATAAACATTGGACATAATAAACCCGGGCTACACCCACTGTTATTATAGAGAGATTTTCTATAGGCGCCTGGGCCAGACTTTAAAGGCTTTGCGATACAATAATAAAAACAAAATGGCAAACAATGTTGATGAATAGTGCGGAGGCAGCAGGGAGGAGGGAGGAGGGAGGAGGGAGGAGGAAGGTGGGAGTCCGAATTCCATGATATCCTATTCGGCTACACTCTTTACTGCATCGAACACTGCGAAGTCGAGATGGAAAAATCAATTTTAAGGTAAGGAATTTCGGGCATCGCATCTATTTAAAGTTACTGAGCAGAAGCTAAAGAACCTGGCGAAAAGCTCAGTTCAGTTACTCGAATCAAAGGAACTCAATTTCAAGCTCAGGCAAATTTTGACTTTTATAGTTCTTATACCCTGAATACATTGAAAATGGCAAATCGGGGTATGATGGTTCTGTTGAAAGGTATGAAACAGACAGACGAAGTAAAGAATTATTGGAATACCAGTATTTGGGAAGGCCACAGGGGATCTCATAGTCGATCAGTCTCGACTAGAGCACTCTCGTTCGAATCGAAATAGACTTTTGAGGTCAGTTCGGTAACTCAATCGGTATTTAGAAAAGAGAAGCTAAAGAATTTCGGGCAAGGTCTGTAAAATAACTCAACCGATGGTTAGCTAATAGAAGCTAAAGAAATTTGGCTAAAACATTTATTTTTAGTGTTTCTATTTAAAGTCTACTTTATATGTAAGAATATAAGACAATGAGCTTATGGTAAGGTGAGTCAGTTAAGGAAAATTCAAATAAATAGAATATTTTCTATCGATTTGAAATTTTCCATGAAGGAAGCGAAAATATTTCTCAGAATGTAAGTTCAGTAAATTATCTCAGATTTCTCTCAGAATTTCTATAGGATAGAAGCTACTGGTAAATAGCTCAGGCAAAGGCAGACTCAGTAAATTATCTCAAGGCAAGGAAAATTCCATTTGTTATCGCTTCTTCACAATTTCAGATAGACTTTCGCTTAATAGTAGCTTAAGGTCAGTTACCCACTCGACCATATACCATTTCTGGTGCTTAGCTGGTGACGGCAAGACACTGTCAGCGTCGCCATTGCCCATTGCCTGGCAATGGCTCTCATATTGATATTGCGATTACGGCTGTGAATGGAATCGATGCTGAGTTGGAGTCTGCGTTTGGCACGCTCGCTGCGGCTGCGGCTTGCTTTAAATTAAAAGAAAACAAGCAGGAAGCCCAAGCTGTGGAGCTGCGAGCCCTGAATACCCTTGTGCCTGGCCAGAGTCTCCAAGGCGAGAGCAAGTTTCCTTGCGAATGACTTTAAGGCAAGTTTAGATGTGGTCCATCTTGATGAGATGTGAATGCATAGAATTTTGCTAATATATCCATATCCAAGAAACGAAAGTTGCTTTTAGCTAAACACAGCTAATACCATATATATATGTGTATATCCACATGTTACACATCTCATGGCTAAGCTTTAATAACCTGGCTGAGTAGGGCATTAGTGTGGCAGCAAAAGGGGTGTGGCCAGGGGCTGGGGCAGAGCTCAAGGCGCTACGGTCCCTGCCGCAGACGGGCCAGCATGTTTGGCTCCTATTAAAGCTGGCAAGTTTGTGGCTAAATCTCGGTAGCAACTTCTTTTTAGCTGGCTGCCGTCTGCCGTCTGTTGTCTGTTGGCTGTTGGCTGTCGTCGCTAGTCCTTGTTGCTGGCGTTATTGTTGTTGCGGCTGTTTGGGGAACGTGCCACAGCGACAGAGCAGAAATGAGCGCAGCCGGCGCATTTTGGCAGCATTAATTTCTCCCGTGTGTCACATAACGTTCGCCCAGTCGCTGCCGTTGCTGTTAGACGTGTTTATGGAGTCACTTCCCAGTTGGATGCAGTGGCACGTAATCAAGCCGCGACTCGCCTTGGCTGCGCTCCTACCCGCTCTCGCTCGCTCGCTCGCTCGCTGGGTCCTGGCTCTGCTCTTGCTTGGTTTTATCTCAATCCATCTTCTGCCCGCCGGCTCTAGCCATTTTGCCAGCGTTGACAAACAAATTAGGCCACAATTGTTTAGCACTTGGCAGCGCTGCCAGCTGCAGGGATGCAGCTGCTCCTCAACAGCAGATACATTGTGGGTGCCGCAACAGTATAATTAGCAGAGGTCGTCTCTGCCGTGCCCTGCCCTGCCCTGCCCTGCCCTGCCGCCCCCTCTGCCCAGCCTTGCCGTGCGCCGGTTGCGAGTAAATTGGCAACTCATGTGTATTATTTGCATTTAAATTGCTTTTTGTCATTAATTATAGGCGCTTTTGAGTACGTGCAACGCGTGGCATGCAGCATGCAGCAGGCAGCATGCAGCATGCAGCAGGCAGCAGGCGCCATGCATTGTTATTAATAAGTGCCGATGGCCCTTTGAAGTATGCTATGGAATTTTAAGCCCAGCCCCACGCCCCGCCCCGCCCCATGGCACGCCTTGCCGTCGCACTCATCGAACGCAAAAAGTCATCAAATATAAATTTAAAAAATGTTTGCATTTCAGCAACAAAAAAGCAAACAGCGGTCACGCGCTACCCCACCCAACCACCCACCCACACACACACAGACACACACAGACACACACAGACACACAGAGTCGACGCTAAAAATAATAGGCCGCCTGTGTGCATAATAATGAGTCCCCCAACGAAGTGGCCCCCACGTCTGTCTCTCAGTCTGTCTGCCTGCTTCTCTCTCCTTCTCTCTCTCTCTCTCTCTCTCTCTCTCTCTCTCTCTATCTCGCTCTCAGCATGCAATTATGCCCGGTTGTCTGCTGCACGCTGACTTTTTATTGCATTCGGCTCGCCAAGAGCTCTGCCTGACTGCATAAGCCGGCTCCGCGCGACTCGACTCGACTTTGATTCGCTCCCGCAAGTTTTTAGCCCCTGATTCGCAATGGAAATCGCGTTTAATTTGCGTGAAATGTTGAGCTAAGCACGTGATAAATGAGTATCAATTCGTTGGCCTCGATTGGGATCTACGGCAGAGAAGCGCTGTTGAATCTGTTGAGCGAGCATGCAGAGCGGCAATATACCCGCTCTGCCTGCCAATTTGCTTAAGCTGCACAATGCACCATGCGTCCAGCTCACCTCAGCTCAGCTCACCTCGGCTCGCCTCAGCTCAGCTCAGCTCAGCTCGGCTCAGTTCGGCCCAGTGAATGCTTTTTTGGGACTATATTTATTTATTTAACTTGCTCCTCCCCTTGCCCCGTGCGTGCGTGCGATTGTTTGCTGTTGCTTGTTGTCTTTGGTTCACGGCAAACTTTACTATTGTATATTAATTTTTATTTATTTATATTGCTGCGCCCCGCAGCCCGCAGCTGCAGCTCTCGATTCGCTCCTGTTTTGCCTTTCATTGCACGGCAAATGTTGATGTTGATGTAAAGGGTATTTGCTAAGAGCGCCAAATGCAATTGCTTTTATTTATTGTTTATTATTACTTAAAAATTGCCATTCCGCCCCCCTGTTTCCCGCAGATGTTGTTGCAACTGCCGCATCGCTGTTATATTAATAGCCCAATGGGTTATTGCAGCATAAATATTTCCAATATTGCACTTCTCCTCTTGTTTTGTTTTTCCCCTTTCTTTAATTTATGCATTTTGTAATACGTTCATATGCACATACATACACATATACATTTATATGAAGCTGGTGATTGTACAACGACATAAACGTAAAATCAGTTTGAAGGGGATGCGATTGATGACACACAGTGCTGTTCATTCTCCACCACGAATTGTCCATCTGGTAACCCTATACAATTTGAGAGACACGTGCACATTACGCCGTACAGATTGAAGACGGACATTTGAGCAATGTTTCAAATCTCTTTGAGCCAAATCAAATGATGATTATCGTCAATATAGTACAAATCGTGTTTTTCTTTGATGTAGAGATGCACTATGTAGAGTTGCCAGATGGACTCAGTATCCGACCTATTCAAGCTTCAATTGAAACAAAAATCCAATGGGATCAACTACCAACACAAAGTCAAACTCCAATTGGAGCGGCTTCAAATAGAATTCAATTGAACTACTAAGCAGGGTATTACGCAGTCGGTGCTCGTTTCACTGCCATCAATTAGGCCTGACATTTTGTCGCTGTTGTTGTTGCATTTGCGTCTTGTAATTTATTACACTTAATACTTTTCGCAGCGGTCGCATTTGTCATGCGGTAATTTAGTGGGTCGCGCGCAGATTGTAATATTCATAAGTTATTTTATGCTTTTCAATAATCAATGCGCCATTATAAATAATTAATATGGCCGGGCCACACGCCAGTGGCATTACCATTCGGTCGAGCTAAATGCCAGCCGCACAAATTGTTGCCATTTGCAGCCGAGCGGGGCCAAGCGGCGTATACGTGATGTGCGGCGGCAGCTGCAATAATTTGCGCCACACGAGAGCTGCCAGCGGTAAAGGGGAAGGGGCATGCCAGAGATAGAGAGAGAGAGAGAGAGAGAGAGAGAGAGAGAGAGAGAAAGAGAGAGAGAGAGAAGGTAGACCATTATGTAGCTTCATTATTTTCACATAACTCTGGTCCAAGTTTGGATTACAT